AAGCGCTCTTTTAGTGTGTGAGAGGAGCGGTAGTGAACCACTATATTCTTACTGCTCGGCTTTCGATACCATTTTGTGGTGTAGCCGTTCTCGGATAGGTTAATTTGAAGGTTTAGAAATGGAAGCCAGTTTTCTTTCGGTTTCTCACGGGTGAATTTTATTGTTTCCTATGAATTAGTGAAATTTAATATGAGCTGAGATATGGTCGTTTAAAGTTGAAAGTGGCTTCTGTTTTAGGATTGAATGCACTGCGGTCAACGCACCTCGGGCCTTACGCGTTAAACTGATCTTTGGAATATTTATTCATCGATAAAAACAGAAAGAATAAAGCGTTGGTCGTTTAACAGTCTCTGAGGAATGCACCATGTCTGTGACATTACTAAGTATCGTAGAAGCGGTAGAACGGATATCTTGCCCATATACTGATTTGCGTGGGAGTACCGACTTATCAAGCCCGTGTTGCTATCCTCCGTGACAAGTCTGGTTTCAGTTGGCTAACCCCTGATAGAACGGAGGACTTGGTTGGCCTGAAGTGCGAGAACAAACTAACAATGATCTTTAATTACATGCAATAGAAGGGAATAAAGATGGGGTAGAAATCAGTAGTACCAAGGCTGTAAATATCAGACTTTAATATCACTTAATTAAATTATACAAAATAATGAAAAAATGGACCATGGATAGATGCATTTGAAATAAAGTAGACTCAAAGATAAAAGGCATGCAGAAAAGATGTTCTTATGTAATAACTTTACACAAAGTAATCCAACAAACCTTAAACCACAACAATGTCTTCACAACTATGATCATGGATGATCCTGGAATACACACCCATTCGAAGAAGAAAGGTGTTGTACTCATTCATCTATGTATAACTGTTACAAATCTCTTATGTTCAAGAAAGTTAAATTCATGAATACTTTTAATAAAATCTAGGTCAAAAAAGAAGTGTTAGGGGTGAATCCCGGGACCAGCAAATGAAATCACAGAAAAAACAACATTAAACAAATTAAATCACAAAAATAAGTTGCAAGAAAATACTAGTTTGGCCCTAGAAAACTATACTCTTGGCAAGTTTAAGGCATTCTGGAATTTAGCAGAAAGTAATAATAGAGCTGATGCATAAATATTTGCTGAAGAGGTTGACGAAGTCTTCTATACTCACTTGTGGGAAGCTAAGGCTATGCTAAGAACTGTTGTCTAATTATGCGATGTTGATGGTGTTCCTACAATCAATGGTACCGTCCGACGCCAGTTCTTGAAGAGCTGCGAATGCCTCTATTTCTCTCTCTTCCTTTGCTCGATTTCTTCTCTCATATTCATTTCTGGAAACATATTTCTAACGATTTACAAAAACAATATCATGATTTTATACTCTAGTCTGTGAAGTCGCAATAAAATTATATTTCGCAATAACACGATTTTATTCTATCACCGCTTAAACTATTGAAAGCGGGTTCTTGGAACACGAAATGACCACACGGGTACTTCTCAATTAAATAGGCAGCACCATGAAGAATCGCACAAGTTGATATTTCACTCTTACTTTGTTGAATCCGCAAGACTTTCCTGTAGAGACCCGAGACAGAGCTAAACTGGTCACAATAGGTATTCATCGACTTACATGAATAGAAACGACGTAGGACGTTCAAAACTACTCATCATAGGTATTCATCGACTCATATAAGCCGAAATGACGCTTCACTTTTTTTGGCTTGCTTTTTTTCAGGAGTCGGAGTGACTACATGCATTAGTTTGTTGTCGGCTGAGACTCCAAGATGAAAACGCTGAACTCGTTTTGGACTTGCGAAGCCATACCGGTAAAACCTGAACTACACTGCAGACTGAAACCACGGAGCTACACATGGACCATTAGTAACTTGAAACCAAAACAAATTTGGATCTTTGTAAGAGATACAGTTAATCTGAACGCAAAAACTCTACATTGTTTCAAACAGTTTTGCCAAAAAAAAAGAAACAAAAGTAAGCAAAAGTAAAACAACTATAAACTTCCTCGACTTGAATATTTACCTTCTCCTATAGTTTGCCGTTTCAACCCTACCTACAGGATTCAAATTTAGTGGTGCATACATCAGGTTTCTTTCTCCAATCGTGCCCACTCAAGCGATAAAGGAATGTAATATCTCGACCCATAAATCCAAAACGCTAAGAGTAAACACCTATATCAGAGACTGGAGTGTAGTAACGGTAAAGTATCAAAAGCTTCACAAAACAGTGAGAAGAGAGAGATTTAACTTCATGAAAAACCATCGCTGTTACAGATGAGGAAGGATCTTTAGGCAAGAAAAAGTTTATATTCATTTAGAGCATTTGATAATATAGGCAAAGATTTGGAGAAAAGATGTGGTGGAGAACAGGTACAGTGATCCGCCATTAAAAGATCTCAAGGAAGTTACTGACACATTGATATAAACCGATCTCCGCAGTAATTTTCTCCTGTGGACAATGCTGTGTACATTATGTAGTGTGAAAAACTGGTTCCTTCCAACGGTTTACAACCTCATTGTGGCTGGAAGGTGTTCCTGGGTGTCGGACTGCGATGTACAGCGGGGGATTCATCCCCCTGACAGAGTCTGTCAAGCTGAGAAGGAGTCCGGCGTTTCCATTAGTAAGCCTAGCTAAAAGCAAATCGATACCAAGATCCACCACTGTCCTGGTGTCAGAGCAGCATGGTGGTAAATCTCCCTCTGATCCACAGAGGCCGCTACTGCCTACAGTGGTGACGACCTAGGGCAGACTTTGGCTAGACTGAATTCGGGATTGCAGGGAACCGAAATGGCTTAACTAGCAAACCTCCGAAAAATGGTGATTATGCTGGGACCCGCTCAACCAGTGAGAAGGAGCCGTTCAAGTATTAAGTGTCAAGAAAACTGGTTAGCATCGTAATTTTGTCGATGACCTGCTCACTATAAACAAGGTGGCAAAATGAGGTCTTCAGAAACTCAGAAGCCTGTTTAACATCGATACACAAGCGCAACCCATGCTGGGCGCAACATAAGGGACATGAAGCAAAGTTCGTTGATATTCCTACGCATGAAACAAGCACAACTTGCTCTTTAAAAACAATGGGATAAACCAAGGATGAAGCATGAAATAAAGTAATAAAGGAAAAATACATGTTAACCAGTCATTCCGAGCTTAATGGAAAATCAGTTTTTGGAACACTGTTATGCAAACAAGCGATTGTCAACGGACAATCACTGTCAACGACAACCGGCCTGTATAAAGGATCGCTGTCAAGTGAGGTTCTCCATTCAGACGATGTTCCTCTGGACACGATTCAAGGCGACGACGAAGGCCCATATCGGAAGAAGCAAGAACTGTGGACACTCGACGCGGTTCAGTATGGCTCTGAAGAAAGCGAAGGCGTCGAGATGTTAGCCAACTAAAGTTCTTTACAAATCTCGCGTTAATTTATCAATAGCGGATCAAAAGATGACGGGTTAAGAGTTGATCAATCGGGGCGGAATGAGCCATGTCTTGGACTTCGTCGAGTATCGTAATGGTGGTTGAATGAACATCTGGTTTATCGAATGACTGGTGGCCTGAAGATGTATTAAATTAGTGACCCTATCCCCAGATAATTCCTGTCCAACTTGTCTCTCTCAGATTGTTGAAAAGGTTGGCAACACCGGCTTGCGGAATCGAACCAGCGATCGATCCGGTGTGTATTACAGGGCCAGCCAAAGCAGAGCGCTACGTAAGCTGTCCTGTACTTCCCAGAAACAAAATATATTGAACTTTTGCCGAGGTTTTATGACTCTGAAAGCAGCAATATTATCAATAATGGAAAGTTCCCGAAGCACTCAATTACAAAATGTAGCTACATCAATATTTACAGTCCTATCATAAATGTAACGTCATAGAGAGTTTGAAACTGGTAGGTTACCGTCTATATAATATGGAGATGAACGTTTTCATTCATAACTCATGGACTAACTGAACTTGTGAAATGAGTTCGTTATAGGCCATACGTAATGTTTTTGAAAACTCTTCTTTTGAGATCAACTTCCTCCAAAAGCACACAGCTATTGCTTAAGCAATTGTTATGTAAATCACTCACCTGTGCTTGACAATCCGCTCGACTATCGTCTCGTTAGTCATATCGCTGTTTGAATCGACTTCACGATAGATACCTAAAAAACCACTATGACTTTTCGTCCGCTCTTTTCCATCTAATTTTAGTTTAAAAAATAAAAAACACTCGTCTGTCTTATGTTATTTATTGCGTCGATCAAATAAATTGTTCCATTGAGTACCTCGTCTTTTCGCGGCTTCATATGGATCGTATCCAAAATGGTTGTGGTGTGGAAAGCGACTACCTTGGCATACAATCTTAAACGTTAGTAACTCAATTTTTTCCGGAAGGAAATAAAAAATATAACTAGCAAAATAAGCAACAAAGGATAAACCGTCCGTCGGCGCTTGTCAATTCCTGGAAGATGTATATGTATTCGACTTCATCAATCATCATAGAGGTGATCAAATCCATTTCTGGCCTATACAACGACTAGCGGTCGCCCATCTTATCTATCAAGTCAGTGCTGCCGTCCTACCAGAGAAGCCTATTACCAACTCGCAGATTCCGGAACGATGGAGGTTTGGTGAACACGGGACTGAGGATCCTAGTGATGACCGACCCCGTCTATTGCACGGCATTTCCAAATGCCACGTTACACGCGCTCCAGTTACTAAATCGTAGAGAACGCATCCAGCGTAGTGAGTTATAGGTGCCCTGCAATATACACTGGATCGAGCAGTGGTTCGTTCCTGTGCCCAGGCCCATCAACCGTTCACCCCTCCGGGATCGGCAAATTGGTACTAGGCCTGTACCGAAAAGGAAGGCAGCATTGATATCGTACATCGGTAGGCCACCGCGAATCATTTCTTAGGCTAGCAATGCTTTCATTCACTTCTACGACGGCTGATAAACTCAAATGCATGGCGTACCTCGCATGAATTAATCAACGCCAAAATCTCTATCCTTCGTTCTTTATAGCAAATAAACATACAGAGATATTGAATCGATCGATGAATTCATCAGTAATGTTATACGGTGCTCCAATCACAACCTCATTCACTGGCTACAAATAACAACATATTTTAATGTGAGTATCGATAAAATGGTGTCATTACAAATATTTTCACATTAACAACTGAACAAAAATAAATAGCCACCTTTTCGAATCTTTGGAAATCAAATACAGACTTTATAGAAATTTCTAAATGCTCCGAATCGATTTACCTTAAACGCAAGAACACTCAGTACTCTCTCGTGCAGCGACATGATTGGATAATTTTTGCCTTTGTACTCATTAACTACCTATAAATGAAAACAATAAAAAAATGAATAGTTAAGGTTGCTCAAAAAAACTTGGATAATACGACAACCTGGTCCGTTAATATACCCACGATAAGGTAATCGCCCAGTTTAGCTGCTTCTTCTAGAAAGGAAAGATGTCCAACGTGGAACAAGTCAAAAGCACCACAAACATATACGATCTAAAAGATGGAGAGGTTGCTATAAAAAAGCCAAATAAACGTATTCTACGTACTACAATCGATAGAACTGCGAATCAGTTTTAAAAACGAAACCATTTTATTAAGGATTTGAACAAAGCATCTCCACCAGTTCATTTAATCAGCGAGTAACTTGTAAGGGAACTACTGGCACCTAGCATTCGTTCTAGCTACAAAGTAGTGCTGATCAGCACTCAGTCGATGTACACCAGGAATACCACACCATTATTAAGGATTCCTATATTTCTACTTTCTAGCAAAAGCACAACGAAGAAAAGGTCGTCACACCCGGCCATCCTGGATGGAAACCTCGACTTGTCAACTTTGATTGCTGAGGAGAAAGAGAGTCACCACAGTATGAAACTGAGAGAACATTCATGCTTAATGTATAAACCATTGCAGGATTGATGAAATATTAGGAAGTCAACTTCAAAACGACTTCAATAGTCCAGCACGACAACGGTCGTAACAGCAAATTAATTACTGAGACAATCATGCACACTTGCGGCAGTCAATTTCCATAATGAGCATAACGCTTTGTCTTAATATGTGCTTGCAAATGAATCATTTTCTATATCAGCAATCGCGAGGTTGTTATATAACACACGTTTACTGTTGTACGAAACATACACAATACAACAGTAGCTGACGTTTCGGCAGTATCGCCTTCTTCAGAGGCGTTTTTTTTTGTCCCTGAAGCTCGATCGGTGGCACTGAAAAAGGCGATACTGCCGAAACGTCAGCTACTGTACTACTGTATGTGTTTATTTACGGAAATAAATGAGTGATGTATAACAACCTCGCGACAGCTGAACAAGAAAACGACTCATTTATAATCCAATGTCGAGGTTAATAGAAAGTCGATCTCAGGAATTAAGCGACTGTGTTTTGATTAAGTGTGATCCCTGTTTAATTGAAGTTACTAAATCTTGTCGTAAAGTTTTGCATAAATAGAAGCATTTAATCACCATTATGGATCTCCATTATCTCAAGAACTTCGAGGTAGTTAGCCGAGACGTGATGTCGTCTTCTGCGGGAGGGGTTCCCTGACACTGATGCTGAGAATTGGTCCATGCTTACCGCATGCACGCCTTCATTTTGATATGATAAATCTTGACGAATCAGACTTGCTATCTTCCCACCAAAAACAAAGATTAGACGACTACATACTAAGCGTCTGGCACGTTTGTTTTCATGCGAGTGGTGTCCAAGCTGAAGCTGAGGTTGCGAGACACAACAATGAAGAGTTTGTTAATGTCTAGCTAGAATTCCCCACTGATTAAAGGCTGATTAAATTATATGTGGCAGAAGTGGCTCTACTTGCAGGTAACATAAGCACGATCAAAACCTTATCAGTTGGCCTCGGAGCTCGTCCTTCAGCAAACTCTACAATTGTTTTTGTCGTTGCCACGAAGCGCGAAACGCGCGTCCACGGCGACTCCGCCACGCTATCCTAAAACTTTATTTCTCGACATTTTCCGTATATGTAAATGAACAATTAACAACAGGATAGCAACGAATAACAAAAGCAAAAATAACAGTCTCAACCTTTTTATTTACTGCCTACTACAATTTTTCACGGCAGAGTATTATGTGAAATGCAACCAAGATGATACTAAGATATTGGCAAAAAGTCCGAACCGCAGGTGTCTGCGGTGGGGAACGAACGCGCTATTGTCCTTTCCAAAGAGTAACGCGTTCACCATCACACCATGCATGTTCTACGTTTCGCCTGTCTCTCAGCTAGTTCTATCGATCAGTGCCGTCAGCAATCACCCGTCAACGGGGTTGATGTTGGGAGCCCACATCGGCATTGAACCCAGTTAAGCTGAGGATGAAGTTGAAAAATAACAGTATTAGGCGAGGAAAAATGATCAAACACGATCATTTTACTGCAAGCAATTCTGCTTATTAAAGTGGAATTACAAAGAAATAAAGCGCTATACCTGTCAATTAAGAAAACAACCGACTTAACACTAATTATTTTCAGTTAATTTGGAGTCTCCCTAATTTTGTAGCCTCCCAAATTTTGTTCTGTTGTTCAACAAAAGATCGAAAAGTGAACGCAGAATAATCATCCATGCTTTCACTTTTAAAGAAAAAAGTGTGGCTTTCGAAGAGTCATAAGAAGGCATGCAAATGATGAATCCTTGATGTTGTGAACAAAACGAGGGGAGTTTTCCATCTAACGAGAGATGGACTAGAACGAACCGAAACAATGCCGTTCTCCTAACATTCAACAACATAATAATGTGGGACGGATTACAAGAGGCCCATATTACAGCGAAGATGGGGGAGGCACAAACAGCGGCAGTTGGAGTCAACATTCCTTCAATTTATACTCAGCCGTGAAAAATCACCATCATAGTGCTTGTTTGTGACATAAACATTGAGGTGCAGGCACAGCAGTGACGCTGTTAATATAAAAATCTACAGAGTCAGCAAGAGCAGAATCCGATAAATAACTTAGAAAACCGTTGTTTGCTTAATTTAATGTTTCTACGGTGTTTTCTTGGTTTTCTACAATTAAAAAAGAAGTGCCACCATATAAAAAGTAGGTGAAACACCAATGAAGAAAAGTGTATAATATATATAATATATTTTTATAATTTTTAGTATGAAATTTTTATATATAATATAATATAAAACATAAATATATACAAAAATAAAGAGCACTTATATGACAAGGCAAGTTAGACATATAAGCAACTCGAAGCAACTCTTAAGAAGCAGTATAAGCCGAAGACATTTAATAATATGCATAATAATTGGACAGACTATGAAGGACTTAAACATATAGAGTGCCGTGTTTTGAAAAATGTGCAAATCGAGCGGTTATTGACTATTGAGAGAACGGACCGTGCTCATCGTGCGAGCTCGTTCGAGATGCTCGTCCATGTTCTCTTCGGGCACGTGATGATTTTTCGTGAGAAAAAGCATTCGCGCAACGATATCCTTGATGAATGTCGACGTCAGTGGAGTGAAAGATCAATTAGGTTTTGAACTCAAAGGAGCAACTCTTGAATTATTTACCGTAGTTGAAACGCCATTTGTTCGCTTACACATACGATAGCGCTTTGCCTTTTTCACTTCCTCGTAGGTGTCTTTACCATCAACAGTGAGAGTGATGTCGTCTACAAAAGCTCATTATGCCACGCGATTGTCAAGGAAGAAAAATAGCAAAAAATCACTTTATATTCACAAAAATCAGTTATAAATGAAAATTTACGCCTGATCTTCTGCTTTCTTGTTTAATTACCTGTTTAATTTTTAGTTCTCACCACCTTATAACGTATTCATTTAATAGCATATATACAATACCACAAACTATCCAGTACTTAAGCGCGTCATCGGCACAATCCTGAAGCCCACCTATGAGAAAACCAATGCCAAGAATATCAGTCGTCCTGAACGAAACCTAGTCGAGTGCTATAAAGCTCCTTCCATTTCATAAGTGTCGAAGACTATTTGATGTGAAGACCTGGTGCCGCCATAGTGCGGGTTTCCTGAGAATGCAAGGAAAAAATCTTGCCATATCATCGACAAACCTGTTAAATGGAAAACGTGCCGGTGTCCTTGTGATCCAATTCAAGTACCTATATGCATGACTCAGTTTTCCAACGTTACTTGTATAATTCTTCTTTTCACTCTGCACTTTTAGGAATCTCATCACTAGAACCTTTTCCCAACGGCCTTGAACTCTTGCATCAACATTGAAAGTTTTAGTGAATAATTCCTGTCACCTCCATGTACACAAAAATCACAATCGTAGCGGTTCAGAGTTTCCACTGTTGTTACATAGGGAGCATCCTCAACCACCTAAAAAGTAGTAAACCAAGGAAGCTCTAGGAATCAGTTGAGGAACAACAATAAATTGTGGTAAAATAGCTATCGACAGGCCTAGTTGTTTCGATTTTGCTGAAATTCATACCTCATCTACCCATTTGATGCTTTCAACCATTCGATAGCGCTCCTGCTCGGTGAATAGTGGAGGGCCTTTATGTAGAGAGATCTAAAAAAGAACTAATTAATACAGTTGAAAATGTGACGTTGTAAATACGGTCCAGAAGAATGTTAAAAATTCCATGTCTGGCACACATGTCAGTGCAACTAACGGGCTACTAATACCATTGAATTCACCTCTTCATCATTGTGGACACCAACGATTAGTTTTTTGCCGAATTGCTTCGCTTGCCGCAACTGATTCGCATGGCCAAAGTGCACTACGTCATAGCTGTAAAGTAAGCATTTTTTCCTCGGAAATCTGAAGGACTGGATTTTTTGGAAGAATATAAATAACGTCGTACAGTGTTGGCGGTTTAGTTCACCTGAGAAGCACTGGGCTCACCGCATCCAAGAAAAAGTTCTATAAAACACTCTAGAAGCTTGAATTCATGATTGCCACTCCTATTTCTGGCAGCTCAACGGAGCATTGCAATTAATAAAAGTGAAAGAAAAACGATGACAGTGTTTTCTAGCATTTCGAGATGTTTTACACTGAGACATTATGTCACATACAGTACTTGCTTCACTTCAATAACTTTCAACTCATTTTCTCCCCTCTTAATTGCTTGAAATCCGTACTTAAACATTTATATAAAAAAATCAGTCGACCCCAAAAAAAAATACATAGATTGTTAAGCGCACGACTATCAAACTGACCATCCGTCACACCATACGCGGTCACCTTTTGGTCCACCATCCGGCGCTTCCATAGAGATTTATTCTGAAAGAAATAGGCGAGGTTTGGTAAGCTTCGCAACGAATCTCGAAAAAGACAGAAATCCATTCAAGATAGTGATGGGTCGGAATGTGTCAAATGTTACAAAACAACAACAAAACAAAATACATCTATCTGATAGAACTGTGGAATTACAGTAATTGTGACACTTTTGGTAGAGCAGGAGTTATTACGAAGTCTTGTTCATTGTCAGCAATGATGCATGAAATAAAAAATTAGAAGGGCAGAAAAAGGACGAATTACATGGTTTGGGATGTAAAAGGGCCAGGAATGTTAGTGCTCATTGTCAGTGAGACGACTGATAAGAATGTTTATCAGTCTCAATTCATGGTGTCACTTTTTTTGCTGTGGACTGCTTACATAGCACGATGACCTCAAATAAGAGCTTCTCTGATGGTGCAATATAGTAAAGACAGCTAAAGAAAAGTGCCTAAGAATGGAAGGACTCGATGAAAGAAAACGAGACAAAATTTCTAACACTTATCAGGGTAAATGTCCTACTACTTCTTTCATCGTGTGCCACTCCACTAGAATCCACATGCCACCCCTTGATGTTTAAAAGTGAAAAAAGATGTTTCCAAAAGCTCTTTCACATTCCTTTGGAAAACTGGAAAATCATGGAATTCAGTACTTGGTCGAATTCGGTAGTTTCGACACTTGCGCATTGATTTCAATGCGCTTCGATGCGTCACGCGCATTGATTTCAATGTGTACATGATTGGAAATAAGCGGGCTTTCAACTTTTAAACAACATATCAGCGTTAACTAAACTTTATTAAAGAGATTTTAAAAGTTCTTTAATCTACAGATCTCTAGTGATAGAGAAGTTTTTTTATTATACCAAGGAAAACTTATAACTACACTGTCCCTATGAATTGCCCTCTTTTCTTTCTTTTTAGTCGACAATGATAATTTTCACAGTGAAGTGGTCGAATGAGGGTGATTTCGTACAATAAAATGATGCTATTCTCTCCAAATACATCGTTTATGTTTTGAATCTTCGCGGTTACGCCTATATTTCGAAAACTTACAATCCCACCTCAGTCTTTTTTGCCCTGCTTTTAGCCTTCAGCGAATCTGGTCTTCTGATCTTAAGCGAGTTACGTTTTAATCTTAATTCAAAGTAAAATCGTGAAAGAACTCCACATACTTTCACAGCGATTGAGAACGTTTTGATGTGGCGAACGACTCACGAAAATATTGCAGTGGCTAATTCATCAAATTTCATAGCGGTTTGGACAAAGGAAAAGGATATGGATGGATCTGTAGAAATACAGGAATTTCGCTAACAGTCAAATAAGCTTTTCACATCTTGCTAAAGTGAAAAATTATTCAGAAATTGGTAATTTTTGAGAGAAGTTCCCGTTTACACTTTTTTATGCTGTTCATTTTGACTAGGAAGGAAAAAGACTGAAGTATTTGAAGGAGTAGAAACCCTTACCCCCGAAAACTGCAAGAATTAGATTTGAGGAAACGGAAGGATGCATAAAGTGTGCAAAGTAAACAAAACGGGAGAAAAATTTAAACGATGATGATCAGATGACATTTCAGCGAAACATTACCTAGTGCTGCAAATATAAAGAACTTGTTCATCTTATGCTCACACGTGTAGTTGATTACTTCACTATGTTACGGCTTAGAAGTCAAAAGTCAAACAGCGTGCAATAAGAATGTTCAGAAAAAATAACGAAATGAAGACAAGAATAAGGAGGATGTGCGAACAAATCTAGTAGGAAGCACCCAGAATTTCATCCACATTAGATGGGATACACGTTTGGAACAGCTTCATAGTTACGAAAGATAGGCTACACAAGTTATGATGGGCACTTTTCCAACAGCACAGACACAATTTTAACTCATCTCAAAAAGATGCTAATTTTTTTAAAAGTGTGATTATGGGGACGTCATTAATAGCACGAACTTTACAAATGTAGCGTATTGATAATCGTCCTAGGAACCGACCTGATAGATAGAAGGCAATGATCGTGACATCTGACCCTAGGTCAGTACCATATCGCTCACAACTGTCGTAGTTTTATAATCAAAGACTTCACCATAAAACATAAGTGAGTAAAATAAGTCAATACGCTAACATGTACAGACATATATCTACACATACACATATACATATGCATATACAAACACAAAAACATTGATATACGCACACACGTACGCATTCACATCCATACACACATATATTTCGGTGCTGCATAATCATTACAGACAAATTCACCTAACTCAAGACAACTGAATAAGGTGACCGATTTGCTAGCTGAATGGCATTTCTCCGATTCTGTATGATCAAAACGAACAAGGCGGAGAAACATAGCGAGGGAAGTGAGAGTGTGAGCAAAAGGCGGTTGTTTTTTCTTAGTGCCCCTTGCCAACAACGCCTTTGCCTTCTCGTCTGTCAGTGTGTTCATATGTGTGTATATGTGTGTGGGTGTGTGTGCGTGTCTATGTGTGTACGTCACTTTGTCTAAACGTGTGTGTGTCCGTGTATGTAAGTGTGTTCGTGCGTGTGTATAAGTGTGTGTGCGTGCCTGTCAGTCAGTGTTCGTGTGGAGGGTTTCGATCGATAGCCAACCTCCTAGCATCACAGCGGTGCCGGCAAGTTCAGTCTGCTTTTCAGAAGTCGCTTCCTTGCAGTTTAAATCTGCATTAATTATCAATATTATATAGCCCTGAGGATATGTGTAATGAGCGAAAATGACAGGCACTTCCATTGCTGAATCGTACCTTATTAAATACTACGAGTTATGCTTAAAGTTTATGAGGCGAACGAACATATGGATGACCGTATCGAAGGTTGATTAGTCCGAAATTGTTTTCACCATACTACTTCGTTATGTATAATTTCATTTTATCACATCATTAATTAGTAGCGAGATTATTGCTGAAAAGGAAACATAGGACTGCTCAATACGAAGATAAGCTTGTACAGAAATCCTGCCACTTTGCCAATTCGAAAAAGAAAAACGGATCTTATCCTTAGTGCCCTTAGTTCTTATTAGAGAATTAGCGATGCAGTAGTGCTTCAACCCTGCGAAGACGTCTCCTCATGTGGTCTTCAAAAAGGAAGTGACGTATCTCTACAAAATACACTTAGACGTTCCCGTGTATAAAAGTATATTTTTCGTGTGTTGAGATAATTATTGTGCTTTTTGCTAGATAGTGAATGTCTTTTCTAGGAGGGAAACACAAAGCCCCGAAATCTCATATGAAGAGTCAAGCCGTGTACTTTGTTGTGCAGCTAATATTGGACCCAGGAGAATATACAGCAGAAATGAAACGGATGCTATTCAGTTGTCTGAAACTCGAAGTGAATCGACTTGTTCCGTTAACGACAACATGGGTGTAGTACGTTGATGTTTTGTCGGTGACGTTTTGTCGGCGGCATATAATTCACCACATGGCAGAATACACGAAAAAAAAATGCGCCGTAGTCATTCTCTCGTTTTTAGATGCTTTATGTCTAAGTCAAAAATCTCGTTTGAAGCGTCAGATTTTCTGTCATGTGGACAGCTTCTCGAGGGATTTCGCTCACAAGATTCGCTTCACCTGAACGAGAACTTCAATGTGATTCACATCACTTCTTGTTCTTCTTTTACATTGCACAACACCTCATGTGTTACACTGTGCGGATCCCACCACTTTTAGAACTCGAATTATTTGCGTGTATTCAATATACACGTAGTTTTCCAAACTTTTCTTTTTGCATGTGGGTTTGTCTGCTGCTTGATGATTTTTTCATCTTCGTCACGAAAGTCGTTGAATGGCTGTCGAGTCGAACCTTGTTTGAATCCTGAGATCATTTGCTAGAGCGTTTCTACGTGGACTACAGAGAGAGTGAGCATGTCTCATACAAGTCTGACGCTAATCTTCCGACCCCGCAGGGGTGAACGGCCTGGTCGACTCGGTGTGGAGTCGAGCCAGGGGCTAAATGGTTTGAGTCGTTGGCATAGTGAACAGTATGACTACCACTGTGTTGGCTGCATCCTTATTTGCAGTGTGAATGCTGAAAATTCAAAAAAGAATGATTGTTGGACATAAAGAAATTGCTGTATTTTCCTGTCTCATGGATTTCATGTATATATGTGTTTAGAAAGATCTGTAGAGTCATCGTTCATAAAATTACACAGCAATTTAATTATGTGTGGAACTGAGGAACGGATTTCGTTCATTCATGCTTGTTAATATCTACATTTGGTGGTAGTCCATGCTATGATTCTACGTCAAGTTTTTCTGCTTAGCGTATGTGTAAGTAGTGGCATCCTATTGACTGTAGTTTAAGTAGATATCGATTGGTGTTCTGTGTGAACTCAATGAAGAGTGGTACATTGCTATATCCTGCTGTCTTATTTAGCTAGTGAATGTTTCGCACAGGTTCTCGATCAAGGAATCCTAAGGCGTGAATGAAAAAGTAAAATAGAACATAATTTTCTCATTTGCCTACAACTGTTAGAAGAAAGATATGGTGCTCAACGAGTTCCTAGAGCGAGCAGAACCCATTGGGTCACTTTTGCACGCGACAGGGAAAAATAGAAGATTTACTGGCGCTCGCTCGAGTCACTCGACGATCAACGGGACTACAGGTGATACAGGTAATACTTGTGACTATTGCTCCATATGATTGACTTAATTCCAACTGAGAGCTTTTGGGATTCACGGATAGGGTCCACTGTCTGAAACATCGGAGATCTTAGAGGCGTCTTTGTACTCGTGCTGCCCAACATTGTCTGCCGTATTTGGGACCGTTTCTTGGTCGTTGGAAAGGGAATCATTATTCCTACTCTTTTCATCCAGTGATCGCCATAGCTAACTTTTGGGGTGAGAGCTGGGTACACCTACGTGTGCCCTGTGGGCTGTTCCGCCTCAAATGAGGTGGTGGCTCCGAACGAGTTTCTATATGCATGATAAACAACTTATTGCATGCTCTCAGTAGAACTGATGTGCAAGATGTACTGTCAGCAT